AGTAATGATGCTGAAAATTCAGCTGCGCATAACAGCAATCAATTACAGTTTAACAGATATTCACACAGAAAACAGATAGGCCTATTTTAATTCACAATAATATTTCACAATTTTTTGTGATATTTTTGATTAAATAAATGCAGCTCTGGTGAGCAAAAAATATTCTTCCAGAAACATTAAAACAAATCTCAACTATTCCAAGCTTTTGTGCTGTCAGCATCAACATCAGGCGGTTACCAGTGACACAAGTAAAAACCATCTCCTTGGTGATGAGTGTGACAGCGAGACGACACACAGCAGCTGGATTATGACACACACACACTCACACACACACAGGCGGGATGTGATTGGTCTCTTAGCAACGCTTCTCATGTGAGATAGACAAAGCTCCACGAGCTCAAACTGAGATCTTAACCACTTAATCGAGCACGCTCACACGCTCACACACACACACACACACACACACACACACACACACACACACAACTGTGTTTCACGGCCCATTTCAGCAGCAGACGACAGACACACAGTCACATGACCATGATAATCAGCTATTTAATATTCAAATCTCCTCACACACACACACACACACGAGCTGAATGAATGAAAATGATAAAGTAGAAGAGCAGAGAGTCACACGAGTCTCTTTAAGATCTCAAATGAAGACAAGTGTGTCTCCTGTAGATCTCCATCACGTCTCACTCCGCTCTCACACTCAGTGTTATGAACACATCGAGCGCTCACCAATCAGAGCCAGAATCCATTTACTGAAACATGAAGCTGTGGTGTTTACACGGCTCCTCAGAGAATACCGCGGTACACTGTGTTTAGCTGATGTTGTAGTGTAATATCAGTAAATGATGTCATAAGGCACCGCTGCACAAACACACGTCCATCAGGATAATTCGCTCAGGTTCTTTCCGCTCTTCATCTGGAATCATCACATCTTTCCACATTACAGCTGATTATTTCTGCTTCCTGCTGGAGTCATGTGATCATTCCATTAGAGAAGAATGAGGAAAACACACACACACACACGTTTGTTTCTGTGAATTGTGGGGACTTTCCATAGGCTTCTATTACTTTTATACTGACCAAATGATATTTTCTATCCCCTAACTAAACCTACCCCTTACAGAAAACCTGTTTGCATTCTTACACTTTCAGATAAACATCATTTACTATTTTTAATCATTTTTTTTCCCTCATGGGGACCGGTCCCCACAATTTCAGGTTTTACTATCCTTGTGGGGACATTTGGCACAAATCCACAATGCAGCATAAACAAGAACACACACACGCGCACACACGCGCACACACACGCACACACACTCTAAACAACACTGAATAATCAGAAATGTTTCTTGAGCAGCAAATCAGCATATTAGAATGATTTCTGAAGATCATGTGACACTGAAGACTGCAGTAATGATGCTGAAAATTCAGCTGCGCATAACAGCAATCAATTACAGTTTAACAGATATTCACACAGAAAACAGATAGGCCTATTTTAATTCACAATAATATTTCACAATTTTTTGTGATATTTTTGATTAAATAAATGCAGCTCTGGTGAGCAAAAAATATTCTTCCAGAAACATTAAAACAAATCTCAACTATTCCAAGCTTTTGTGCTGTCAGCATCAACATCAGGCGGTTACCAGTGACACAAGTAAAAACCATCTCCTTGGTGATGAGTGTGACAGCGAGACGACACACAGCAGCTGGATTATGACACACACACACTCACACACACACAGGCGGGATGTGATTGGTCTCTTAGCAACGCTTCTCATGTGAGATAGACAAAGCTCCACGAGCTCAAACTGAGATCTTAACCACTTAATCGAGCACGCTCACACGCTCACACACACACACACACACACACACACACACACACACACACACAACTGTGTTTCACGGCCCATTTCAGCAGCAGACGACAGACACACAGTCACATGACCATGATAATCAGCTATTTAATATTCAAATCTCCTCACAGTGACACACACACACACACACACACACACGAGCTGAATGAATGAAAATGATAAAGTAGAAGAGCAGAGAGTCACACGAGTCTCTTTAAGATCTCAAATGAAGACAAGTGTGTCTCCTGTAGATCTCCATCACGTCTCACTCCGCTCTCACACTCAGTGTTATGAACACATCGAGCGCTCACCAATCAGAGCCAGAATCCATTTACTGAAACATGAAGCTGTGGTGTTTACACGGCTCCTCAGAGAATACCGCGGTACACTGTGTTTAGCTGATGTTGTAGTGTAATATCAGTAAATGATGTCATAAGGCACCGCTGCACAAACACACGTCCATCAGGATAATTCGCTCAGGTTCTTTCCGCTCTTCATCTGGAATCATCACATCTTTCCACATTACAGCTGATTATTTCTGCTTCCTGCTGGAGTCATGTGATCATTCCATTAGAGAAGAATGAGGAAAACACACACACACACACGTTTGTTTCTGTGAATTGTGGGGACTTTCCATAGGCTTCTATTACTTTTATACTGACCAAATGATATTTTCTATCCCCTAACTAAACCTACCCCTTACAGAAAACCTGTTTGCATTCTTACACTTTCAGATAAACATCATTTACTATTTTTAATCATTTTTTTTCCCTCATGGGGACCGGTCCCCACAATTTCAGGTTTTACTATCCTTGTGGGGACATTTGGCACAAATCCACAATGCAGCATAAACAAGAACACACACACGCGCACACACACGCACACACACACTAAACAACACTGGACCCCATTGACCTTCACTGAATCTTTTTTGCTTTTCACAGGAGAAAAAAAAAGTCATGCAGGTTTGTGCAACATGAGGGTAAATAAATAATAAATTATTAATAATTTTTGAGCGAACTTTCCTTTAAAATGACACGTACACTACTGTTCAAATTAAAGTTTGGGGGTTGGTAAAATTTTTAATGTTTTTGAAAGAGTCTCTTCTGCTCACTAAGGCTGCATTTATTTGATTAAAAATACAGTAAAAACAGTAAAAATGTGAAAAAATGTTACAGTTCAAGATAGCTGTTTTCTATGTGAATATGTGTTAAACTGTAATGTATTTCTGTGATGCGCAGCTGTATTTTCAGCATCATTACTCCAGTCTTCAGTGTCACATGATCTCCAGAAATCATTCTAATATGCTGATTTGCTGCTCAAGAAACATTTCTGATTATCATCAATGTTGAAAACAGTTGTGCTGCACAATATTTTTGTGGAAACTGTGATGCATTTTGTTTTCAGGATTCACAGATGAATAGAAATTTCAAAAGAACAGCATTAAAAAAAAACAGAAATCTTTTGTAACATTATAAATATGTACTTGATAAATAAAAGTATTAATTAGTTTTAGTGGAAACATCATTAATCACGTAGTTGATGTTTGTGGTTTCTTCTCGCAGCAGATCGGGTCTGACCTTCAGTGCTGGAGCGTGTTGTTAGCGTGTTGACTCGGCGTGTTAAAGTGCTTTGTGTTCAAATTCAGCTGAACAACCAACTAATTTCAGCTGGAATAATAACAGCATTGAACGGCAGAGACACGGTCCTCCAGGAACCAGTTCTTCAGTGAGAAACGCTGAGCTGAGGGATACGCGTGTGAATATATGATGTCTCACACACACACACACCGCACGAGTCCAGACGATGACATCTCCACCGTCACACAACAGATGCATTGATGATGCTCTCAGACAGACGTGATTGTGACGGACACAAACAGACGCTACTGTACACACCGGGGTCACGGGGTCACGAGCAGATGTTACTACACTGCTGATTCAGACGATCACACCTGCGCTGCTGAGTCTGTACATTACAGCACATCATATACTTCATACTTAATATCGATTTACTTTGTGTTCATATCATTGATGCTGCTGCACTGAAAGTGTGCTGTAATGTAATTGGCCGTCTGAGGGGTCACATGACCTCCTGAAGGACGAACACAGAGCTGCAGACTCACAGATTCAGCCTTG